CCTAACTAATGTTGTTAATAAATACAGCTTTTGAATACAAAAATGGAAGCCAGTCTCAAAAAGTGTATGACTGTCAACAAGGAACTGTTGGTGTCTGCAGTAAGTATRATATTGCTTGTGAATAATCATTTTGAGCACTCATCACACATTATGKTAAAACTTCATCTATTTTTCTTATCAGTCAATTAAAGAGAAGAAAGAGGTGCGACATCGATGCAGGAAAAACAAGTTCAGATTGGGGCAGTTTATACCAATGAGGTAACAGATCTTTCATTTGTACAATAATCTGTAAAACCATCAACAATTCAGGAGCTATGAGGTCATCACTAGACAATCCATTACTAGCAAATGTTTCAGTTTTGATATTGAATCATAGACCTTTTACATATAAACTAAATCTTTGATTGCTTTGCTTGCTGACGTGCTATCCATATGGGCWAAGGAATTCAAAATGCACATACATGTAACCATTACTGGTTGAACATGAAAGTTTTATGTATTTGTCATTTATCCTACTGTTGAACACTAGTCTTAAATGTATAAATGAAGCATGCATAGCTGCAAATATATAATATTATTTTTTCTYTGCAGGCAAGGGGCACACTACAATGAGTCTTGGAAGGATGGTCATGCTTTTAAAGAGCTCAATGAGTAAGATATTGCTTAGTATTATCAWGATTTAGTTATGAAWTCTAATGCATGGCTTGAATTGTTTGTGAGACTTGCCTCATGGTGTACTTGCAAGCCCAGACACCATGCTATATTAAGTTTCCCTGTTCTGTTWATCAAATGSTGGATTGYTGTTACTAGTTGSCTTCCAGCTAAACAGAAATAATAGGAGAGACATGTTAATTTTGTTTAAAAGCAAAGATATTTGGTTCAGAACTACAAAGAGAAAATTGTTATAGGTTGTGGATTCTAAGTATGGACTTATCTGTATATTTAGTCAAGTAGTTTCCATGTGTCATTGGAATAAAAGAATGATAAAATAATATAGAATATGCCAACTATTTCTTCCAACAGTTTTGGATATGTTATACAATTTCTTTCTCCAAATTATATTRCATAGGCAACAAGAGAAACTAAATCAGCAAAAAGAAGAACTTGAGAAACAGAAAAAACTTTTATTGAAGAAAAAACCCGGAAACTCAGGTAAAGTACAAAAAAATGAAGCTTATAAGTCAAAGGATACTTTCRAAGTKAATTAATGTTATCAATGTGTCCCTKYTTTAGCAAGCAAAGAAAAGAAGTCATCAAAAATTGCTACTGCAAATGATAGTGACTCTTTTCAGAGACCTGTGTCACCCATGTAAGTATTGAAGTCCACAGCAAAAACCATTGTGTTTCTACTGCCAGTTCAATACATTTGTTTTATTTTAATCAAGAAAGGTTTTATTACCCAATATTAGACAATCATTGTTTGGTGACACTTCATTGTGACCACATTGTCAAACTTGTCTTGATGCACAAACAACAGTTTGTTTTGTGACTCTTGTGTGATGTTGACACAATTTACCACACAATTATTGTTTTCTAATAAACCTTTGTTTCAACTGTGTTTTAATTGGTTTTGTAATGTAGCTTATCACCAAGTGAATACTATGAAAGAGAAGAAATATTGAAACTCAGAGCAGCAGCTCTTAAAAAGGTAACATTCTTACTTGTAATAATAAAATGATATAATTACATAGCAATATTCCTTTTTCTAGTTAATATTCCCTTAATTTACATAGTGTTTTTTGGGTTTTGTTTGTAGGAAGAATCAGATTTACAACTTGAAATGGATAAACTTGATAAACAGAGAAACCTGCATATCAGAGAGACCAAACGAATACATAATGAGGATGAGTCCAGGTATTAAATGCTATTCACCACTGGTTTTGGCTGATAATTTTTTTTTAATTCATTTGATTTTTTTTGTAGATTTAACAATAATCCTCAACTTAATGGAAGATATTTACTACTGAATTTACTTGGTAAAGGAGGATTCAGTGAAGTTTATAAGGCAAGTGTACAATATTTGTTATAACGGCATGTCAATTAAATYCGTTTTTTGCAATCCACCAAGCAAACTTTATGCTAGTTGACATTGTGTTTAAAAAAAAGTGGATAAAAGAAAGTGAAAAGAAAAAATAAATACTGGAAAAGAAATGGCATTGTACTTTACATGCATTGAAAGCCACAATTTTGTAACATTTTTCTTTAATACAGGGTTACGACTTGTTTGAACACCAGTATGTGGCCTGTAAAATTCACCAACTTGTGAAAGAATGGAAAGAAGAAAAAAAGAAAAATTATATAAAGTAGGAAATTTTCTATATCCCAATAAATCTACATGCATTTTTTTTCGTTTTCATTTGTTGTGTTCTTTGGCTCAGACAAAAACATATTGTCCTGCATGTAGCTTGACTATGATATTTATTAATCTTATTATCTTATTTATCTTATTGTAGACACTCAGTCAGAGAATATAATATACATAAGACACTTAACCACCCTGTAAGTAAAAAATGTTTTGGATTATTTTATTGTTKTAGATAGAATAAAAATAGAAAGCTCTACAGCAGTTCTGTGTTAARGTGTGGGCACTTTTTCTTCCATGCAGACACTGTAGTATACTGGCACCARCACCATCATTTCCCATGGTTGTCTGCATATATGTTTTTTTTGGGATATTCAAATGTGAAAGTGGTATAAAATGAGAACTTTTTTGCATTTTTTTTTTCAGAGAATAGTTCGACTTTTTGATGTCTTTGAAATTGATAATGACACGTAAGTACTAATTCAGATGGAGTTTTGTCACTTGTATGGTTGACATTATGATGACATTGTACTACATGTTGAAAAATTCTCCTTGAATCAGACTGAAGGAATTTTTTCTGGGAAGCAAAAAACTTATTTGTCCTTACCAACTTAGGTTTTGTACTGTAATGGAATATTGTGATGGTCAAGACTTGGATTTCTTACTTAAGCAACATAAAATAGTTCCAGAAAGAGAAGTAAGTCATCAATAAGTCCAATCTAGGTATCTTGTTAGGGAGCCAAAGTCTAGGCTTACCTTTCCTATTTATGACAAAGCCCRAGYAATCGCTCTAAGAGCGTTTCTTTGATAYCTGAAATCATCACAAAATTTCCTTTAAAAATTTCCAACTTAAAAACGTTTTGTTTTTGTTTTCAGGCAAAATCTATAATAATGCAGGTACAGTTTTCATTSRTATTTGCTCAGCTGCATAGTATTCGCCTTGTCTAATGTCTYTTTTTACYAYGTAGATGGTYAGTGCRCTGAAATATCTCAATGAAATTAAACCACCTGTAATACATTACGACCTCAAACCAGGTATGTTWTTCCTAGCATCAATATCTTTATGAGAGCTTTCTTAAAAACTTCATGTATAATGCCAGCAAACATTGTATATTGCCCATCAAACTCACCTAAATAATACTACGAAAAAAAAGCACACACACAAAAAAAACGGTATTAGTTTTTAGAGAAAATTCAAGTCAAATCAAGACACATCTATGGCTGAGTTTCACATCCTGTCATGATTTGGCATTGTGTTTGCCATATGAATTGTTGAATGAATTAGAAAAAGTAGAAAAGTTACAGTATTTTTCTCATTGAAAATCTTCTTCTTTTATCTTACATAGATTCATTTAGCCGCTTATCCTTTTAGGTAACATATTATTAGTAGGCAAAGGAGCTCTGAGTGGAGAGGTTAAAGTCACAGATTTTGGGCTCAGTAAAATATTTGAGAGTGATGAGGACGGAAGTATGGAACTAACATCACAAGGAGCAGGAACATAYTGGTACCTCCCCCCTGAGTGCTTTGAAATTGGCAAGCAGCCTCCTAAAATCTCTTCCAAGGTTGATGTCTGGTCYGTTGGTGTTATTTTTTATCAAATGTTATTTGGCAAAAGGGTAGGTTTATAAAGAATATTTACCGTAGCGAACTATGAATACACTGGAACCCCTACTTACGGCCACCCGCTTAATACGGGCAAATTTTTATGTCCTTGTGAACACCGATACATTCCTGCCGGGTTAAAAGGGACACCTCGATAATGCGGACACATTTCGATGACCCTGCTGTGGCCGGATCAACGARGTTCCATTGTAGTCACTGTAGAGTCATAATTTGTTGCTTCTTTGATGTATGTTTCTATTCTGACAACATTTTGTGAAGTGATTGCTTTAAAAGAGTGAATTTCCAATCAATATTTATTGGTTGAGGGATGGTATGAAGAAATTTGTTTTTAATTATCCATTCATTATTTCTAGCCATTTGGACATGACCAAACGCAAGCTTCAATTCTAGAAAATCGTACAATACTTAGGGCAAAGGAAGTGGAATTCCCCAACAAACCAGCCATTAGCAATGAAGCGAAGGTATGCATTATGCTTAAATTCTGTTAACGTTGCCGTTGAGAAAGCCGTGAAGTATCATGATATATCTATAGTCAAAACAATAGATTCCATGAAAAACAGCCATAAAACGAGTTCATATTTCAGAAATCCTCATATCATTGTTAAACAGTCTCCTTTGCAGCTGCTTTGTAACGGTGACAAAGGAATTTACTGCATATGAGGACATGGCYATGTTTTGTTATCATTACATACCTAAATTGCGCGCGCGCGTCACAGATTTTGGCATTTTCCCGCCTTTTTTCATCGTCACTGTTCAATTACATGCTCACCCTTGTAAAGCACACTTAAAGCATGTTTTATTTGTTTMATCATCAAGATGTAAAATAAAATCAATATTTTATATTACATTAYACAACTCCAGATTTCTGATACTTATTTTTTTGCGCTTTTTTAGAACTTCATTCGTAAATGTTTATGCTATCGAAAAGAAGACCGAGTCGATGTCTTGTCACTTAGTGAAGACGGCTATCTCAAACCTCCCAGTAAAAAGTCTTCGTCTACYTCACAGAACCCACAAAGCAGTTATACTTAGTGTACATAGTACAATAGAAAAGTAAACTTTAGYATAGAGGCGACAGATTGCATCAAAAGTCTGTCTAAAGTAGTACTTTTACGGACAAATAAAAAATCGACAAATATAACCTTGGTAAAAAGTTATATTTGTTGTGTGGACGTTAGATGTAAACGCTCAATAAGAAGTCGTTTACRATTTCAGCTCYACGTTTATACTRAAATTTTGCTAACRCCACGTTTTGTATGGATAGTTGTCTCTTGTAGCAGAATTGTTACGCGTTAGACGAGGTAACGGCCCATTTCATACGTCGTGTTTCAGGCGTTCCAAATTTTAGTCAAACGAAATAACTGCATGGAATATAAGTGCCTAATTTACTTTTCAAAATGTTTTGATCTGGTATTCTTACATCTTTGAGCATCTTTCAAAGGCATAGTTTATCAAATCAGTAAATATTTTTTATAACTTCAAATCATTCGAAAACTACTATTGCAAATTTGAACGTAAGTCCTATTTCAATTTTTCATTCTGAGCTGTTGAATTTGTTTCAAACGTCGCCTTATACATCCACTCAGATATGAGATACGGCGTTTGAACTGGGTCATAAAGTCTCGTGCAGACATTTTCTACAACTGATTGATGAACGTTTAGAACTCAGCTAGAAAAATCACCCTTCTGTTATACACAGAGAGCGACCTTCTCGCTATCGTGCACTGGGGGACTCTGTTATAAAGACAACATTTCCCGTAATCAGGCACTTAAATCCTACGAGAGAAAACTCAAGCTGTTGACAGCATGTTTTTGCTTTAAGTGAAGACCAGTGAATTAAAATCTATTAGGAAAAGTACATAGTTATGTTATTAAAAAAGACAAGAAAGCATCTGTACAATATTTGAATAAAAAAAGGTATGCTTTTACACCGTACCCTTGCCTATTATCCTGCTGTCTGTAACTCTCTCACTGATGATCAGTCTAAAGCCTCGCTTACACGACCAAATCTGTCGTGCGACATCAGCAATGATTTTTGACCCATTTTATCAGATCTACTTACATGTAAACAATTCCGAAATTTTCCGTCGTTAAACATTGCGAATTTCAACTCTGATACAAAATGAAATTTAGAAAATCTTTTGTAATCCAACAGAAATATAAAAAAAAACATGGCGAGTCGGTGGCATTTGTGCTTCTCGCTGCGAGCTAGCCATAATGTCGCCGCAAAATTCGCCGTGAATTTTACGCGAGCAATATACTGATTGAACTCCAAGATATTTATGTACTTCTTTTTGGCTTCACTTGGTGGACCGACCACTCAACATTGCTTCTTGTTAAACAGGTTCGCGGCTGCGTGAATGATTTTATCTAACTAAACTTGGGACTTTTTTGCAAAAAAACTGGCAGGTCTTTTATTACAGTAGCTCAAACAAGTAACTATTCATTATATTTCACTGAAACAATTTGCTTTATTCGAGGCAACGGTAATTCGTGGACTCAGCGTGCCTTTTTTTCACAAGCAAGACAAAATGTGACTTTATGGTCTTGATATTTGCCTTTTGTAGCGTGACACCGAGCGACAGCAGGCCGATCCTAACTCCATATGAATTATGTCAATTAATGAACTGGCAAAATTACGAATTGTAGTAAATGTTAATCATGTCTTAATATTGTAAATACAACACAATTTTCCTCCTGATTTCCAACATTTTGGTGATAAATTTGTGCTTTATTTGACGAACTCGTTAACTGTATACGTCATATGCTTCTCTACTGCCATTGTTCAGTAGTAACTTTTAAATTTTCTTTAAATAATTGGTTTGCGCTTTTTCAAATTTTTAAAAGTTTTCATATAAACCGGGTAACCCGACCTGTTTCCATCGCAACTATGTTTAGTGCACTTAATTAGGGTTTGCTAAATCACTCATCCAAGTCCAATTTCAGTTCGGTTATAACGATCGAGTCAATTTTTTTAAAGGGGTGTAAGTAATTTGGTGAGCTAAATGTGCAATTACAACGAGTGCTAGTGATTACAGCTTAAAAACTAGAGTTGCAATCAGTTTCAAGGAACGCTTACAAAGTGTCAKAGGTAAATTTTAATTTAATTTATTCAATATATTCAAGATGCTATCTATCTATTTACTTAAGCTTTGTGGCAATTCAAAAGATAATCCTATCTTTTGACAAAAGAGAGAAAATTTGCAATTTTAACGTCAGTAATGACTTTCTTATCCGGCATGTGATTGGTCAGTGTCATGGTTACTGTATGTTTAGTCTCATGGGACGGGGTCGAGCGTTTGGTGGTTTTGTTTGTTGTGGTCGACTCTACCTGACAACTGTCTTGTATAAAGCAACACTCCCCTTACCAACGGGCCAATTGAACAACTACCTCAACGAGAGACGTTACTATCTCGATCGCGTAGTAAAGTAACTTAACCTACTTTCTTAAAAACCACGTAAACTAACAACATCACATCAAAATGGTAAGTACACACAATCTAGAATGTGCTTTATGATTTTATTTTTTTGCGCGCGTCTTTAATGAAGACGTTTTTGGTAGTTTTTGTAACTGGATATCTGAGCGTTGTTTGCCACGTTACTAGGATTTCATCAGCGCAAAATATTTCTTTTMTCGAATCGTGAATATGTATTTATTATTACTAGGGAAAAACTTAAGAGGTTAACGTGTCGTCCCTCCAGCAAACATCATTAAGCACAGATGATTTTTCACAATATCAGTAAATTTGCTTCTTACGCGTTCGAGGAAAACAATTCGTTTTTAAACGCATTAAAACACTGATTCTTTTTCTTCGAATAAAAACATAAACAAAGTTTATAAAAAGACAAATGACAACAATATCTGTCGTGCTTTTTAGATCTGAAGAAGGATTCCTTGAATCTTAGTAATAATGTATAGTTTACATAATGAACCGTTAGGATGCGCGCCAAAACGAAAGCCCGCGTAAATACATGATATATAGTCGGTCAAAAGCAACTTAAAATTAACGTATATTTCTTATAWCTCTAGCGTGAATGTATTTCAATCCATGTTGGTCAAGCTGGTGTTCAGATTGGAAATGCCTGTTGGGAATTGTACTGTCTTGAACACGGAATCCAGCCCGATGGTCAAATGCCAAGTGACAAGACCATTGGCGGCGGAGATGACTCATTCAATACCTTTTTCAGTGAGACTGGCGCTGGAAAACACGTCCCAAGAGCTGTGTTTGTCGACCTGGAGCCCACTGTTGTAGGTGAGTATTTGTTTATAAATCCAAACAAACGTTTTAAACCAAACAGCTGTTTTGGCGGACTTGTAAACCTGTTTTTTAGCTGCCAAGAAGGGAACAGAACCTAAGAATTAATTATTGAATGTTTTCTTTTTAGATGAGGTCCGTACTGGAACTTACCGTCAGCTTTTCCATCCTGAACAGTTGATCACAGGCAAAGAGGACGCGGCTAATAATTATGCTCGTGGACATTACACAGTAGGAAAAGAGCTGATCGACATTGTCTTGGACAGAATCAGAAAACTGGTACGTATATTCAACTTATTAATGCAATGTTTTTATTCAAAACTCTGCGTAGAAGACTATATTTGTTATCTTTATGATTATATATTGATTGTATTATTTTTGAATTCTAGGCTGATCAATGTACTGGTCTTCAAGGTTTTCTGATTTTCCACTCTTTTGGTGGTGGYACAGGCTCMGGATTCTCGTCTCTCCTCATGGAACGTCTTTCYGTCGATTATGGCAAGAAATCCAAGCTTGAGTTTGCTATTTACCCAGCTCCACAGATCTCYACGGCTGTCGTTGAACCATACAACTCCATCCTGACAACCCACACCACACTGGAGCACTCCGACTGTGCTTTCATGGTTGACAACGAGGCTATCTATGATATCTGTCGTCGTAACTTGGATATTGAAAGACCTACCTACACCAACTTGAACCGTCTGATTGGCCAGATTGTATCGTCCATCACGGCTTCTCTGCGTTTCGATGGTGCCCTCAATGTGGACTTGACTGAGTTCCAGACCAACTTGGTACCCTACCCACGTATCCACTTCCCCTTGGCTACTTATGCTCCTGTCATCTCTGCAGAGAAAGCCTATCACGAGCAGTTGAGCGTAGCTGAGATCACCAATGCCTGCTTTGAGCCAGCCAATCAGATGGTRAAGTGTGAYCCRCGTCATGGYAAGTACATGGCMTGCTGTCTGTTGTTCCGTGGTGATGTYGTYCCCAARGATGTCAATGCAGCCATTGCAACCATCAAGACCAAGAGAACCATCCAGTTTGTCGAYTGGTGTCCCACTGGATTCAARGTTGGCATYAACTATCAGCCACCCACAGTTGTTCCTGGAGGTGACTTGGCCAAAGTACAACGTGCTGTCTGCATGTTGAGCAACACCACAGCCATTGCTGAGGCSTGGGCTCGTCTTGATCACAAGTTTGACTTGATGTATGCCAAGCGTGCTTTTGTTCACTGGTATGTTGGAGARGGTATGGAGGAAGGAGAGTTCTCTGAAGCCCGTGAGGATTTGGCTGCTCTTGAGAAAGATTACGAGGAAGTCGGTGTTGACTCCACCGAGGAAGAAGGAGAAGAAGAGGGAGAAGAGTACTAAACAACTGTAAACTATTTTTTGTCGTCAATAAATTGTTTTATCAACACTTGATATTGTCTGATTTCAATGTTAGGGAAATATTTGTATCATGACGGTTTGGGTAATTGTTAGATCGAACCTTTGACATAATATTAACAAAATTTGCTTACAATTTTACGTTTTTGAAGAATTTTTATTTTCTATGTACTTAATACCAAAACGTAGTAGCTTTTTGATATGAAATCTAAAGTTAAATTTCACTAGACTAGCTCCAAGTCTCCCTCGTTCATTTTTTTTGTGTTGCTTGGGATTCCTGTAGCGTTATTCAAATTTTCGGATTCCGAGCACTCTCCGAACAAGTCACGAATTCAGGAAGAAAAACGGACATATTTTACCTAAGTAAGCTAGAGGCAGCGCTACTTGAAACGCCCTTCAGCCGAAGCTCTTAAAAATTCAAATATTTAAGAGCAAGAGACTTATCCAGGGTTTACTTATAGAGAATAAACCGGATGTATGCAGGCTAATCGCATTGGAATACAAAAGATTATTGAACAATAGGCTGTAGATATCAGGGGTGGACAGAGGCGGGGGGGGGATGAATTGGGTGACTAGTCACCCCCCTTTTTCGAATGAAATGATAATGCAAACTTAGGAAATAGTAAATTATTGGGTGAAATCCAAGATTCACGTTTAGACTTGCTAATGTATCTCTTAATTATGTGAAGAACTTTTAGGTTATTATAATACCTACTTCTAAATGTTAGTTCTCTAAAAAAAATTCACCACCCTAAAAAAAATCTTGGATCCGCCCCTGGATATGAATTATATTTCGTGACAAATGGATAGTAGGAATGTTTGGTCAACTATCGGAATTTAATGGAAACGTCCAATGACCCCCTGTCTCGCMATTAACACTTCATCAGATCACTGGTAAAATCCGTTTTCTCTAAATAGATCATCAACGTTATTTCTAAATTGATTATGAAGTCATGAATGATGATTATGCACCTTTGCTCAAAGTGAATTAGGCAAAATTTGGGTGCGTCTCAGATATCGATGCCAAGGTAGAAGAACTCTCCTATTTAAAGTAGGTATAACTTTTGATTGCTATTAAATATTGGGATTTAATCGTTCTCGTGCAKTTAACGTTTAATGAGAACGCGAACACGGGCGCCACGAAGCCAACATGTTGGTAACACCATTTGCGTTACTCTTCCGGAGGTGTTTCTCTTCTTTTGCGCTTTTCTTTCTACTCTTGTGATTCATGTCTTTCATWATATGACCGAGGGAMACRATTGTCCAGCAGRAAWATAAAAAAGGTTTTCTTGGCAGACYCCTAGGCTCCCGCTCGGCAAAGAGTATAGTAGAGGTGWCTGAAAAGAACAAAATGAAGGGTCGCCGTTTAAGTATTATTCTTTCAAACTTATAGACGGACGTAGTTTGCTTACATCAAAGATATTAAGTTTCCAAAAAAATAGACAATTTAAAATTCATGTAATTTAAAATTATACGCTACTCCTAAGAAAACCTGAATATTTTAGGGCAAAAATTCGGTTTTTCAAAACTACCAAAGTTCATTGGTCATATTAGCACTAAAATTCAAACCAAAGAATACTCGTAAATAGACGATATGCATTATGGCGTCATTTACTACAACTACCAGAATGCTTTGCCAACTTTCTTTTGTAATGCAATTAGTGMCACTTGTTTTATTAATCTCCAAGGGGATTAAAAATCTGAATAAMAATGAAAATGCGCAAGGCTCACTGGTAGTTGTAGTAAAGTTACGTCATAATGCAAACGGCCTATTCTGTACGTACTTCTCTATAGAGAACGCCACCCCCTTACGAACTTTCACCGTAGGGGAGGGGGAGGGGGAGGGGAAGGGGTTAGGAACGGACGTACACAGGTGCGAAAGCCTTACAGCACTAACAGCACAGTTAAATATAAATGTAGTAAGTAGAGCTGTTTAATATTACATTATCTCTTATAAACACAAGTATMGTAGATAATAAATACAAATTAGGATTTAAAATATAAGTAAACATAAAAAGATTCGTTTTATAATCAGGCCTATTTGTTCTTTGGTTGGTTTTGACGAGCTCCAACCCCGACAATAATGCTTTGTCCACCTCTCAAGGAAAGCTGTGTGGAAAGTGCTCGAGCTTCATCCATGGTCATCGGTTTCGTATCAGATGCTTGCAATGCAAGATCGGTGTCTTCATCTATGCATGGTGCAACTATGGACAAAACTGGTTGCGCTTGTTGTGGTCCTGCGCCTTGCAGTCCCTCCAAAACATGCGYCTCTTTTGGKTCAACTTCCCCGTAAATTTTGAGTCTATGTAGCGCTTTGATTTGAAGAAGCTCATTACACTTTTGTTCAATGATTCCTAAATATTGAACGGCATTGTAGTCATCGATACTTGTACCTCCTCCAAGAAGCTCGGATATGGCCGTACGATCACACTTGATGCTCTTGAAGAGCTTCTCGATTTTTATTTTCGCTTTTTCCAAGATGCGACGGTCGGTTTTGGCCTCCTTTTGTAATGTGGTGGAGTTCAATTTTACGTCTRCGAGTTTTCCTTTGAGTTCCTGTAAKATATCTTTTCGACGTACATCGTTCGCAACTCCTTCCTTGTCAATCGTACGCATTTCGCCTCGAAGGAACTGAATTTCATCTTGATATCCTTCAATCTCAGTGCTCATGGCGTTGACATAATTGAACAATGCAAAGTTGTCGTCTTCTTTTTTAATGAAYGACGTTACAAGTTCATCGGTATCAAARATGCRTGTGGTTTSYTTKATCTTCTCAAACGCCTTTTCGTATTTGTTTGCTTCCAGGTTCACATTGTCCAAGTGAATACTCGCCCTCTTCAATTCTCTTTTGAATATTTCATCTCTTAATGTAGTTGCTCTGTCTTCTGTTTTTACTGACATGAAACCCTGCAGTTTGCGATCGTGCTCGATGGCTCTTTTATAGTCCTTAACGTCGCTTTTGAACATGTTAAGTTCTCTTTCTCCTCGCTCACGCAAGGACGCCATGCGGTGCTGAGCCTCATCTCGAGCATGRAAGTTTGCTATGGCAGTTTCGGAGACTTTCTCAACGTCCGTTTTGACTTCAGACAATTTATTGTCCAACCGCTGATGCAGTTCCTGGAAACGKTCTTTCTGTTTGACTACATTCTCAATCTTTTCACGAAGCTGCTTATTTATAGCCATRGTAGAATTGAACTTCCTGCTCATGTTATCCAAGCGATTTTTCATCACTCGAACTTGCTTCTGAGTGGCAATATACTTTGTTTGACTTATATTCATACTTCCCTTCATTAGCTTTTGGCGTTCCATGATTTTTTCCTCGAGCGCCTTCTGTGCCTCCTCGATCGTTGCAATTGACTTCTTTTCCTTTTGAATTTCGTCGCAAGTTAAGTCCTCTTTATCCATGAGCCTGTTCAGTTCATTTAAGTTGTTTTCGTCGCACCACTGATTCCAAAGCCGTCCAGCTACGTTGCTCATAGTCAGCAACTCTTTCTTTTCTCGAAGTAGCATTTCAATTGCTGCCTTTTGCCGTCGAATGATGTTTTGCGATTCGCTGGTGTAAGTCCTTTTATCATTGGACAACAAACGGTACTGGCGGTGGAGAGCTGCAAGTTCTTGCTGGGCTTCAAGTTGCGCTTCTAGAGGATCTACCTTGTCGTCTTCCCTCATTTTGACGTTATCAAAAAACAACAGAACTTTGCAAGAAACTGCAATGTAATTAGAGCTAATTGATCTTGTGACGCGGACGTCACATTCCCTTAATTGAATTGCGCGCGCGTCCAAATTAAACTACAGGGATCCCAAGAACGTCGACTAGTAAAAATTTGCATAAATTTTGAATTTTTTTCTTTTTGACAAAAATTGTTGTCTAACGAAACGTTTCAGTTGATATTAAAGATATGTCTTTTATTATGAATATAAAGAGTMTGAAGTACACTTTTGAAGTGTAAATTATTGAAATGGAAATCATTGTCCCGAACAGAGACATAATTGTTTTTTTTCATACTGTATGTCGTTTCGAAGGTGTGAAAGAGATTTCTTCACAAACACCAAACCTTCATTTTGCACAGCCTTAATAAAACAAAGCATATTGATTATTTCCGTAGTCTTGTAATTAAATGTCTGGAAATAAAACTAAATGTGCCGTTTCATCTCATGTACAACTCAAGGAGTCTATACTTAACGCATTTCAACCCGTAGGTCAAAAGAAGACGATTCGATGCGAAAGCAAAATCTAAATATATTTCGTGGAGTCTTTAGGAAATGCAATTGTCATTATAGACGTCCAGTGTACTACGGTTTTCGAAGATTTCTAAACAACTGCATCGCTCACGACCGCAGCGGACTGTTGGTAACATCCAGCCATCTAGCCGATCCAAAACCAGTCCATATAACTGTAATTGACAGGTYAGTTATTGCAATGTAAAAAAAAGAGAAAAAAAAAAGATGGCAGGTTACTAAAGAAGTTTTCTTATATTGTCCAGAACAATACAAAGTTACAATTGGAACAATTCGAGTAATTATAGACTATAGAAATATTATTACTATAATGTATAATTTTATTTTGTTTTTTATTTGTTATATTTTACAAAATCTGCCACAAAGGCAGAGCTGAAATCGAATAATGGGCTCCCCAAAACATTCAAATATACTCGCTTTGTATATTTTGTTCAGTAATTTGTGTTGTAGTGACAGAGTGGGCTGACTCGAAGTCCTGCAACAATCTTCAGAAACGTCTATGGGCTTAAATTGCAATTCCTTCCCACAACAAAAACCCTAAATTTTAAGTTCCTGTTTGTGCGAGGTCTTGATAAACACAATTAAAAATCCAAAACAATGAAATCAAGTCTCGATTTAACTTTTAAAGTAAAGAAAATTTGGTTKATTTTGATTTGGTATCATATAGCATTCTCATTTCGAGTTATTGAACTATTCTTACCGAAATGATAGTTTTAATATATCCAAACATCATATTAATTCTTTTAATATTTCATTCATCATTTAATTTTCCTGAGATCAATAAAGTCAGTCTGTATTTTTTTTTTTCACACTTCGTACTCGTATATCCTGTTATATTAAAMCTTCAATTTATTGATCACCGGAAAGCGTTTACATTTACTTGCATTTGATGGACTGCATAATACGGCGAAATATCAGCGAGTTTGAATTCGAATGAAATATATATACTTTATTAAAATCACACATTACAKCTTTCAACACAATTTCATAGCAAAAGTATACGTAATTATCTCTAACCGCTCATCGCAGGTAGCATGAGAACGGTAATAAAAGAGTCGACAATTCCGTCTACTGATATATATCTAACGTACTCTTCGTGTGCCCAGTGCGACATTTTCAGTTTACCGAAAGTCAATTAAATTGTACTGTGTGTTTCGAATCTTTGACCATCTCACTTTTCTAAGAACTTTAAACGCTAATATAAGTTTTCAAGGCATCTTAAATTCGTTTTATGGTGATATTTGGATACTAGAAGTATTTTGGTGTAAATCATAACAAAAACAGAGGCGCGCAAAGCATAATGGTGTAAACTGGACCTTTAAGAATTCGAAATAAAGAGCAAAGCTACCGCCGCCATTGTATGAATAAACAAGAGAAAATCAATAGCGAATGTTTTGCCACGAGGGCGATGGCGTAACGTAGACTTTCTGGAAATTCTGTGGCATTTAAAGCCAAGCGTAGAACGGGCTAAAATCTTCGACATGTCGATACATCGGAAAATCTCAGTCTTTTACATACTATGTAAATATTTTGAAAATTGTATTTTACAAACAATTTTTTCACATTTACAAAAAATCTACATTGAGTACGAGGAAGAATTTACAAATGATTTAAAGTCTTTTGAAATTTACATAGTATGTAAAAGTAYCTTGGTCCTGTAAAATCAATTTTACAGTCTGTTTACAAACAATTTTCGGTCCCCAATGAAGAGGCGTGGCATTTTGGACCCTTTTTTGTTTCGTAGAACTGTAGGATTAGATCGAAACAGCCGTATAGATTTGAACCATAAACCCCAGGGGCAGGTTATATTCACAGCCTGATTAGCTTTAATCCAGGTTAAGTCCATGGCCGGGTTGTWCAAGGGCCGATTAGTGTTAATCGAGGGTTAACTCCATAGGTTTTGTAAGAGTTAACCCTGGATTACCACTAATCAAACTTTGAACAGCCCGCCCCAGAGCTTTAATTCTAGTGGCGGTAATTCCCGTTAAAAATCTATATGTTTTTCCGCGCTCACTCAGGCAATTTGTATTACCCAAACCAAGTTTGATCAGAGTTCCGAGAAATTCATGTTAGACGCACAATGATTAGGAGTCTTGATAAAACTAGAAAAGTTCATGACTAGGACTAGTGCCACGCCCAAASTCGACCAGGTTATTTACAGTATTTACCACAGGCGCACAAGACATTGCGAAATTAAGTCCATTTTGTCTGAGACAAGTAAAACGGATTTCCGCTATTGTTAATTCAAGTCCACTCGTTTTTGTGTCTTTTGAGTTGTTGTTTATTCAGATTGACCCCAAAGCTATAACTCAAATAGCAAAGAACCTTTGGCTGTCAGGAACACAGGAAGCCCGAGACTAGGAGTTGCTGAAGAGAATGAAAAACACTTGACAAAATTGACAAAATGACAAAATGTTAGAAAAGAAAAAGAAAAAAGAAAAACGAATATCGTTAAAGCTGCTCTAGTWGCGCGCGTTCTTTAGTGAGTGGATAAGTATTTTTCGTTAGTCTCGTTAGTGTCAAGTGTTTTTGTATGGTCATTTTGTTAAAGGCGTCGATAATTTGTTTATTATTTCACATATTGACGGCTATACAGGTATCTGCTATYGGATTATATGGATCGATTCATCCTTTCTTTATTTAGTCGCTGAGTGTGCCATGGATTCGTTCAAGGATATTTTGTTTGCCTTTGCTTGTTTGTTTGTTTGTTTTTCGTCTAAATCATCGACCATAATCTCGTTGATTTATCCATCTATTCGCTCGTACATTTTTTATTCTCATCTATTCGTTTATCCATTTATTCATACAATCATCCTTCTATCCATGTATCCCCTCTCATTAMGGCATCAACAATACATACACACATTTATTTGGATCCTTTCTCTTGTCTCATTTCAAACTGAAAACCATCCTATTCCAATTGCACTGATTTTTCATTCCATATGTCATTCCCGATTAATTGGAAGGCTTTCCTTGTCAAGGGCTATGTCTCAATTACGAATAGGAAAAACGGATATAATTGGCGAAAGTTAGCTGCACAGTTTAATTAAAACCCTTGTAAGCCAGTGAGCCTGAACGAGACATGACAGTTTTAGGACGATCAAAAATCAAATCACGCTCAATGTCAATAAAAAAAAATAGACTCCATTTCAAGCAATGAAAAATGTCAAATCTTGCGGAAAGCAGATATCCGGTAAATCGTATGTAGATAAGCYCACTTAGGCAGGGCTCGTTACTTTTGAAAGAACAGATCTGAAATTATAGAATAGTTTAAATGATCGTGAAAGACCTGTCTGCCATGAGTCTAAACATTTCATCTATGTGTTTTATGAGCAAGAAAACTTACCGCTAACGTGGTTGTTTATGCAGATTTTATATTGTTTGACTTTATCATAGCTTTTCCCAAGTGCTTCCTACAAATAAGAAATCTTAATTGAAACCTGTGTTGAACTTGTGGTGGATGTATTTTCTTCGCGCGCGAAAGGCCTCTAGTGTTTGGACTCGACTGATCATTTTAACCTTACATTCGCCAAACAGTGGTTTTGAGTCAGTTTCATGCGGGAAGCCGTATRATGAGATATTCTTTCTTTTCTTTCTAGTCAAGTGCGACGTGTACGTTTACAATTAGGGGTAAGACACTTTTCAATATTGACACCCTTTTTTTAGATAACAAGTGCCTCGTCAGGATACTAGGATTTCATTTTTACGTTTTTTTTTCTGTATACGCTTTGAGCGATAAAAGCTGACTTATCAGACCATCAGAACGGACGGACATCTTACAAAGGTTAGTCTTTTGAAAATGTTGAAACCTGTGGCTTAGTGTCATCTAAATCGTTGTTTTTGTTAATGATTTGAAAATGGTTTTACTCAAGTGATGCGAAGTGTTATGATGAAGGRAAACCTTGGACGTGCAGTTTTGTGAGCTGTCAGTTGTCTCGCGTGTCATTTGTTTTACGCTGTGAAACCATAGTTAGTAGAGGGGAAATTCCCCTCTACTAACTATGGTGAAACTAAGGGCTTACTGTTCGTTTGTGTAGCGTTATTTCCTTGTTTTTCCTCCCTTTGAGGACAAAGAAACTCTTYAATCTTTTATCATTATCATTTTCGAATTGGTTCGCTAGTAATTTAATTTTAATTTGTGGAAAAATTTTCATTCGGACTTTTTCGCTTTGATAATCTTTACACCGCGATGATAATCAGTTCACATGTTTTACTACAAGAAGGTGTCAGTTCAAAACATAACGACTAACTATGTCTCCTATGCTCGTAATCTTTAAGAAAGAAACATGGCATGATCTACAGTAATCTATGCCATTAACAACAAATGAACCAATTTTTTTTTTAGAACGAAATATCACGATATCGATTCGCAAATTGATTGACAGAACGAACTCACGCAATGAACACATAGGGTGGTGTTCACACGATTATTGTCGCTACGTGCAACTGAGATTTTACCAAATCTTTCGCAATGATCCACTCGAGAACACGGCAAGCCGGGGCTATCACAAGTGGATCTTTTTCCAACTGAAGGATTTCTTCCTGCTTTTGGTCCAAAAATAATGCTCTTCTTAATGGATTGTCGGCAATTGTTGAGGCGCKATAGCTTTATTGTTTACATGCAACATCCAGCATCAATGTGCCTTTTTGAGCTGTTTATATGAAAAAYGATAGGAGAGAAAAGTGGATAAATGGGTTTTACTTTGTGCCTTAATAGCTTTTTCACATTTGTTCTGMAACGGACTAGATTTTCGCAGGGGGCGGGAAATTTGAAACTGTTTGGTTACCGAGCTAACTARCTTGTATCAAAATGTATAAAACATTATGGTCCTAATTTGCAATATTTATGATATAATGACGTTGTGAATATAAAGTSATATAAAACAAGGCTAATATCATGAACATGACATGAACAATGATTTCATCCTTTTCTAATGTCGTTTTTGACGATATTTTATTTGGTGGAAACCAGTTCGTAGCATTAAGTTAAAGCACACATTAAACTCATGAAACATAATAATCAAGGACTGGTGTAATTTTTGTAGGAAATAGACGTATAGGAAAAAAGTACAACTGGAAACGGCTTTAATTGTATTGTTTTACGGTTGAATTCCGCTCTGTGAATCCGTTGAAATCCGCTCTGTGACTTGATCCCAACACGTAAATCATGTAAACAAACAAAACAAAACAAAAAAGCAGAAAATACAATGTACTACAGTAGGAAATTTAAAACTCTTTTACAATTTCTCAATTCTGTTTCGGTAGTTTTGACATCAGTTTAATGCTGCTAGGTGGGTTAGCATCACGTGATTAGACACGTGACAGACATTAATCTATTTTTACGTAATCTTGGATTAACAGGTTCAATAGCTTTTTCGAGTATTATTAATTAATAAAACCACTAAAAAACTCCAACACTAATTTGAAACTCAAATCCGTTAAAATTCTTGGAGAAATTGCTGTACAAATATGTTCAGAGATAAATGGGGCAAACTGATCGTGCGCGAATCGCTTTACAAAGCACTCTTGTCATCCCACATTGAATGCGCATAAAGTAAAATAGAACCGCTCTTTAGGGTTAGGATTAGGGTTACTGAAATCGGTTGACATCCTGCATTGGTCAATGATCAGGTTTCAAACTTGAGACCTTTGCTAGGGTCATGGACCTTTATATCTGATAAAAGTCACCCTTATTAGTATTCTTTATATAAAGAATACTAAAACTTTAAAAAATACGATATACTTTTTTAATCTTAACATGTTTCAGCATTACATTATGCCATCCTCAGAAGAATGAGAATAAAAGTCGTTACAAATGATTATATAGTCTAGGTACAAATGATTGACATGTAATATAATATGAACTAAATGAACTAGCGTGACTAATAAAAATAACAAGATAACCAGTACATGTTATCTGTTATCCCTATTTATAGATAATATGACAGCTACAGTTTAAAAGAAGTTTTCATATGCTTTACTTGAACGTTAAGTTCAGGTTTTAGATTGTTAATATAAAAAGCTTCTTTAAGTTTAAGGAGTATTTTATACTTTGCAGTGTCTAAGATCTTAAAACAATTCAAAGAGTATTTATCACTACAACTTTTAGATTTCGTAAAGCATATGAAAACTTCTTTTAAACTGTAGCTGTCATATTATCTATAAATAGGGATAACAGATAACATGTACTGGTTATCTTGTTATTTTTATTAGTCACGCTAGTTCATTTAGTTCATATTATATTACATGTCAATCATTTGTACCTAGACTATATAATCATTTGTAACGACTTTTATTCTCATTCTTCTGAGGATGGCATAATGTAATGCTGAAACATGTTAAGATTAAAAAAGTATATCGTATTTTTTAAAGTTTTATTATCTCTAGTGCTACTACGAAACTATAAAGAATACTAATAAGGAGTTTTTTGTCAGATATAAAGGTCCATGCATGTGACCGAATATGCTCATTCTATATGCCTAGTAGCTCATTCATTATGTATGAGTTTTTTAAAGCCGTTTAAAACACTCGAGATCGTGTTTTAAACTATACATGCATTTTTTGTACATGCGGTTTAAATATTAATCTCTCTCTAAATGTTTCCTATTTGGCGCGAAAAYCGGTCAAAGACATCCCTTGTCTCAATAAACCTTGCGTGCTAATGCTGAAGTAGTTTTGATAATCAGATAATACAATGGTTGTACTTAGAAAAAAGAAAAAAAATTGAAAACCGTTTGTTTCCAAATCTCTTATAAAGATGTTGTTCATGGTCAGTAATAAGTCTTAATTTCTTTTTTGCAAGTGCAGAGTACGATACGACTCGTTTGAAGAGGGGAGGAGATTTTTTAATTGAGATTAGCTACATTAAAGATTAGCTACACTTAAAAAACGTAGCTTCGAAATCGAAAAGGTATGGCGTCTATGATCCATTGTCTACATTGCTTTTCATCGACCAGTGATGCTATACATGATGACTGGACGTCTGTTAGGTAGAAAACCATAGCGGCTGCATGAACGGTAAGCCCAAGGGTACTCCACATCACATTCACACTGCTTTTCTTCCTCGATGATATGATTTTTGAAAATACGACATCATGATCATCATTAATCATGAATACAAATTACAAACTGGCTCTCAGCATACTATCAGGGCCGAGTGTCAGGTCGTGACAACCTGGATCCAAGTCCCCTAATTAGCAAGATGTTGAGATATAATATATTATGCAAAATCCCAAAGTTGGTATTTAATACCTGATAAGAAGCGAACGATTTATATCTCTCTTGAGGAAATGCTGCGGAATTTCCAAAAAAATGCACGCGGGAGTGCGGCAGAACAGTCYTCTCTCTCATGTGCATTAGGTTTTCATTGATTTTCAGTTTTCTTTTTAGTTATCAGTCGTTCACTATCGATCARAATGATTCCAAACTTTGAGAATTTTAAGTCTTTACGTGTTTAATGTTTTCCTATGTGCGTCCGTTATCTCAAAGAACTTACATSCCCAGTCTCACGACCTGAAATAGGACGGCAAAGAAGAATTAACTTTTTTAATTCAAAAGTGTTCTTTGTGTTCAACTAAACATTACGGATTCGAGTCAACAAACATTGTTTGTGATGTCAATAGAATAAACATATTAGCCATTTTTGGTCAGGAATGAGAAATCTGTCCAGCATTGTTTTAAAGTACAATCATTTCTGCTTTGATTTAATTAATTGCCACCATGGGATGATCCTTGACGAATTCGTGTGATGACACAACTAATGTGCTCTTCAATAGAAAATAATTGAAGGTAAACTCCAAGCGATATCATGGAGGATTAATCAACCTCCGCAGAGCCGAGTTTTATCCAAACAATCAACCTCCATAGCGAGAGGTATTTGAAAATAATCAACCATCTCAGTTAGGCATATCAAAACAACTGGACTGGATAGATAATGATTACGCGCAAACCATAGTAATTACCTATATTAACTGTATAAAAGTTCTTTTTTTCATGTCATACTTCTATCCGTTTCAAAATTTTCACGTTTTTGAGCGCGATTCATTGATTCTTAACTGATTAAGAATCACTGCTTAGAATGAGATTTATTTCGTGGGGTTTATTCTAAGATTTGACATTTATTTTTTTTTTTTCATTCCAATTCCATTATTTAATTTTCTGAATAAATTTAAAAAGAATGTCGAATTTCATTTAAAAAGACTAAAGACATGTAAATGTTGGATTTTTTTCTSGATATATAGATAACTTTCATTGCTTTTCGTCTGAAATTATTGCATGTTTATCAGCCATATTTGTAGTTGTAATTCCTGTCTAATTCAAGTTCCGGTGAGACATGCCCAGTTAGTACCCGCTATGTAATACCATTTTGATTTTCCGACTAGATTGCTGAGTTTTTGTCCAGTGTTGAGTGTTGCTTAATCATAGTCGAACCTAAAGGAAAGCAAAAATCCCCCTGAAAAACATCATTTAAAAAGATCGATGTTACTGGGTTAACCGTACGTAAGCCCAAAATCACTACATAGTTATAATTCAGTTGTTATTCGCTCCCTTTGATTATAGTGGTAATCAGTCCGTAATGTACTCATTTCTTTCTCCATGGTTTTCCATTTTAAGAGCATAAGTTGAATCGCTTCTTTCCTTACAAAAGAGCCGAACGGATCGTGACAGGTTTGTTTTCCTTTCTGTGCGGGGTTCATCGTATGTCCGGAATGTTATCCCGTGAAAAATAAATCAATTAATGCTTGAAGAATAACACCAGGCTCACTTATCATCTGTACTTACTTAAGGCACTATTCCCTCTCCTATTTAGGATTCAGACAGACGAAATTAGAGCGCGTAATTAGCAATGGACAACGTTTAACTGCCACATTCATGACAAGAAACCATAGGACCTGGCCTAGAGAACCATTAGAGATCAAAGGATGATGTCTTGTCTGTAACGGTGAGGGAAAAATGGATTAATTCATGGTATCATATAAGCTCTTTTGAAAGCGTTTTTACATTTTAACTTTCCATTTCCAAATGCGTGAAATGCAAGAGAGTGTATTTTCCGCAGGCTAAAATTCATTATTCTTAAAATTTGACTTCGATGTATAAGTCGCTACGTGCTGCGGGGAAAGTCTCATTTAGCCCTACCGATATGTAACCTTGATGGTTTTTACAATGTCATTGCCTTTTACTCTCGTTTGGAAACCAGATACGAAGGTAAACTGTTAAAAGAATATCCATAACAAAGCTATTCAATTTATATGAAAAAGAGATTGAATTATCGGGTCCAGCAAGACACAAATATTATGTAACACTGAGAAAATTAGATCATGGATCAATTACGATCGTGCAGTATACTTAAGTAATATTTTTTTTGTACAAATTATTATAATAATGATATATTTTATAGTTCGTGTTATAACGTTGGTCAATTATTTCGTTTGATTCAGTGATCATCTTACAAGCTAAGATCATTATAAAAATGCTTATTAATGCTATGGTTACTGAGTTAGTAATGAAGCCGCCAGTGACATTTAATCGCCATAATACTCTTTTCTACAAAGAAAAACAACCTAGAACATTACTTCTTTCATATAAACAGCAATTCTTATGAAGCGATAAACATGAAAAAATTAGATTTACTTTTTGTCTGCGATTTAGTGTAAGCATCGAAGGCAACTGAGCTACCAGTTTCAGTCGGATGTGAGACATCTAATTTGAATCTCTGAACCTTCTGAATCTGACAATTTAAACTAATTCTCACTTWATATTTTTATTATTTTTCACATTTTTGAAAATTAGAAATTAGCCGGTGTTCTTTTATTTTCAAATGTTTTCATATAACATATTTGTGTTATTAAATTAAAGGTGTTTTTATGCGATGCTAAGTGGTATTTCAATCGGTTATGATATTTTTCGAGGCCGGTGGGAGATAAAATTATTGTAATTTATGCTATTAGAATGAAAATCAGTGTTATTGTTCACACTGCTGTTCGTCACGTCCATCCATCCATTCCATCATATCCAGTTATCCATCATTCCGCAATATCTGCGGCAGGGGCGTGGAGAAGGGGAGTTTAATAGCTCCAAGCTGGTGATAAATTCGCAATAAATAGTTGAGTTTCGCTATGTGTGTAAAATATGCAGAAATTTAGATAAAATTCGTGAGATTTGAAACGTTTTTTCGTGGGGTCTTTTATACTCACAGATGTCTTGCATTTGCACGAGCTGTTACCGAATCAAAATATATATTACATGATTTTGAGGCTAACACATTGTAAAAGGGTTTATTGTGGAAAAGAGATTGTGGAATGGTCATCGGAGATTTAAAATGTATCACTTTTCTAGTTCATTTTTGCAGAGTCTGAGTATTTTTAGCTATCTATTCGCTCGTCTATTGAAGATGTTTCTGACATGATACATACATTCTCACTTCATTGCACTGCATCTCATCTTGCATTTTTAATCATTAATTTTAAGTATAACAAACGTCACTGTTTGTTTTGGGTTTTGCGATTGTTTGGCCTACATCAACATGGATAAATGTTGTACAAGTAAAAACAAGATTTTGTAAATAAATGAGGTTGTGTACAATTAGTTGTTACTGACGTCAAACTTGAGTAGCTGGTTTGATTTTGGTATGATATCATTATTTACCCTAATCACACGTCATCGCTACTTTATTTATATGAAATGAACAAATACTCTAACTGAAAAGAGCTGTAGGTACGTAGCTTTGAACACTATTAAAATACAACGTTCTGGGCCAGCGACGTCTTCCATACAAGCCTAAAGTCGGTCCGTATCAGTCTATGTTTTTAAATATCTAATATTGTGCTATTTTAGAGTATATTTTTGAGTATGGCTCCATCCCATAATCCTTTTTGGGTTTAGCTTTCATCATTATGGAGTCACAAACTTAATTGAAAAGTTTTAAGTTGTAATATAGAGAAAAAATAATGTTTTTGTTTGAATCACATATCTGAAGTATCTATTAAACAATGATATATCTATTATTCACCATTTCATTATTGATAATTTAATAATTTTTGATGAATATCAACACGTCGAAATACACCAAAATAGTTTTTTTCTAATTGGATTATTTCCCTTGATGTCTGTCTAACAGAAACGCCCATTCTGATTTTAATTTTACTGCGGCTCAATGGCTACTAATTTGCGTTTTTTTATAGTCGAAAAAAAAAATAACATCAGAAACCACACTTCCATTTTATCGGATTATTTGGAAGACAGCCGATAACAACGTGCTCGAGTAATGTCCTTTAATTATGGTTGATAACGCGATTTAATGATTCCCCTGACGAATGGAATTGGTCATAGAGTCCTCTTACCCAGTCTTCTGCACTTACTGAAGCGCCTACAAGTCCTACGACCAACGATTTGTGTTAGAATTTGCGAATTAAACATGAAAATAAGAGTTTTTTGGGGGCTAGATAGGAATCTTTCTTTTTAGTCCAAGTGATGGCGGAAGGTCTGTTGGTGCTCTATCACGCTAGCTATATATCACGTTGCCTTTCTATAAGAAAAAACCTTTTAACAAATTAAGGCTTTATTCGGTTTGATTTGTATGTATATTGGATCGGCTGTTCTTTTCCTCACACTGTATGATAGATTGATTATTTAATAGTGTATTTGAAACCTCGAGGCCACAAATCGGAACGCTGAACATTCACAAACATCACTTAAATCATTTAACATAATTTGAGTTTTAGCTCAAGGCTCGTGTTAACAAGGATGTGTGCGTTATACGGGCTTCATGACTTTGATGTGTCTTACACCGGTTCTTGATTACATCCTGCTCGAATGCGGATACTCGGGATAAAGAAACTATTATAAATAATCGGCTAGTAAATGCTGTTGCAAGTTTCGATAACACTGATTGAAATAGTATTTCAATGAACCATCACAGAAGAACGGGGAGAATTCGAAGTTCTAAGTCAAGCTCTCCTCGTGCGCCTGCTATAATAATAGCTTGCGTATGAATAATAGCAGGATAATGGAACTATTTTTAACCAAACTGATATGTTATCTTTATCAGTAAACATGACTACAAGCGCTATCGATCGCCTCACCACGCGCGCGTCACATTTCCCGCCGTAAACAGTTTAATAAAACCAACCAATCACAGCCTTATGCTGTTTACAGGGTTTAAGTGAGCTATTTTCAAACTATTCGTTCAAAAGGAATTCGCAAAGAACAAAGCAATTCCTGAATTATTGTAATTATTTWTCTTTTTTCGTATTAAGGGATGCTAGGAATCGCAACGTCTATCTGTAGCAGTATCATTTTCATCATTTTCATCTTGCTTTATGAATTAAATAGCCTTTGCAAGTGTTCTAWCGATTTGACCAAATATGGTGCCCTTTTGTTCCCGAGCTTCAGTTCACGGAATCCCAATTTGCGCAAGCGTACAAAGATGCAATGAAACAAAAACTTTAGCTGTACATTTTTTCGTAGCGTCCAGAAAATACATCTTTTAAGATGTAAAAACAGCATTGGATTCTAACAGGGTTGGGCTGCCTGTTTAAGAAAAGATCAACTAATACGAAAAAAGATTAGATCCAATAAATTCATCAGAAATTGTTTTTCCAGTCA